TTACATAACTGAGCTTTGGTCAATGGCGCAAGCTTGTCATTTATATGACCAATTTTGAAATTTCAATTATCTTCATTCTCAAAAGAGGTAGCGTGGGCGTTCCTACTAGAAAGCGCAGATCCAAGCTGGAAAATAACTGTGTGCCTATCTGAATTATAACTAAAGTTCAGGTTGAATAAAGTTTTGCGTTTTACGCTATATAATCTGCATATAATGAGAATACAAGCTTTTGACTTGTAATTTTTTTTCCGTATGCATTTACCTCAGCTTCATGTGACTGAAACCAAAAAAAAGGTTGACTTATATGTCAAAGCTTAATTTGAGAAGTTTTGTTTCGGTTATGAAGACTTTACTGAAATCTGTGACACGATGCATCCTTGTGATCTCTAAACTGCAGAACTTCAATACTATGTAATCACTTCCTCATGTGAAAGAAATCAACACTTATTCACTTTTCGATGATGAATGGCATCATCATTCTTGCGTGTATCATTTGCTATACTACATGAACTTCGGTTAACGATTGCTGCTAAGAGCTTTGTCAATAAGATCATCGAACTTCTACAGAAGTATTATACAAGCTTCCGGAAACATTTTCTTATGAATTTTACTTCTCCGGTATTCTGACTGCAGAAATATGCCTGAATATCGATGAAGAACAAGGTCCAAGCAATTTACCCTCCAAGGAGGGGTGGGGGTCAGTAAGCAAGAGAGGCAATTGCGATTTCAGTGTTCTGCATGAGTTTCAAATCGCACAGAATTCTTATCATTTGAATAATAAAAATTATAAAAACTAGGCCATCATCATCTCACAAAAAATCTCGGTTTTTGGTACTTCAACTACAAACATACGAAGATTTTGGAAGCATCCCGAAAATCCTCTTGGTCTCCCCTTTTATTGAAAAGAATTTGTCCTCCCCTCCCCCTCCCCCCCCCCCCCGCTTTATGTGAAAAATTTGTGGGTCCATCACTGTCTTTACATATCCTTTGGTTAGGGTCTGCTTATTCAATGAGTTTGGGCCCTTTCCCTGGAGCAATTTCTTTGGTTTCTGAATAGCCCAAACGACTTTTGCTTAATATCTAATATCTTGAATCACAGTACATAATATTATTTACAATATGAATTTTTGATGAGTGAAGTTATTGAAACGGAGAAAAACGTATCACGTGGTGTGAGTACTGGCTCAGGTTTCAGTTGAACTTAGCTTATGGCTCATCATGTATTTCATAACTGCCCTCTCTTCTTAAGTTCATAAAATCAAACCCGAGGTTTTTCGTTGCCTCCTGACAACATAGGTAACAGTGATACATTTTTTTGGAATAAAATCCTAGACTTGAAAAGCCCTGAAGTTTTTTTCGTGTATATCAACCTTAAGCTTCATCTACTTGATTTTTCGCTATTTTTGTGCTGCTGTTGTTTACACGTAGATCTTTATGATCCGTCCAGAGACGTCAATGTCATGACGCAGCCACAAGGCTTTCAAAGTGTGAGAACAGCTAATCCCTGGGGGCAAATCCACGCGAAAAAGAGGCGGGCAATATCTGCCTTGACCGCGGCTGGTGTGCTAGGCTTCAGCAGGAATGTAATTGTGCTTTCTAATCATCATTTTTCTTTATTCCTTATCCACTGCGATGTTATGGAACTCTGTAATTATTTTTTATGTGAAAGGAAGTTACATTGTCCCAACCATTGATGAGGTCTTCATTATTCATAATGAACATTGAATTCCTATCCAAAACCTATACATCCTGGAAAAAATATACGGCAAAAGCCAGTAATAAAATAGGTGAAAAAATTTAGTGTGTCGCATGGGTTATCTGCGCATTTTCCTGCTCTTTTTTTTTGTGCAAAAAAATTCAGAATTTCCGAAGAAGCGTTCATCAATTTTAATAATTCTCTGTCATTTGATCTCCCTACCTCAGGTTCATTTATGGTTTTGCAGATTCAGGTTTGTATTTCTGGGTTGTTTTACTGCGTGTTCTGTTTATGGTAAATGTACTGTAATCTTAAAAATTAGATCTTCATTGTCAAAGCAATTTGACGAAATCCGGAAAGTCACTCGAAACAATTTTTAACGGCTTTCTAGTAAAGTTTCATTGGAGTCGGAAGGCAAGATTTCACCATCTTCAATATTTTTCATTTTTGATTGGTGATTTTTTCACTCTAACAAGATACTGTACGTTTTTTTGATGTTTCTGCTAATGCTGATTTTCATCTTTCCGTATTTTACAACTGACAGATTTTTTCAAACATTTGCTAGAATTTTGCCAACACATAAGCATTTCAGCATTTGAGAACTGAACTATTCCTGGTCGAAGAAAAGTACAGCACTTGTCATGCACACCTATATAATTTTAAAATGTATTCAAAAATATGTTACTAACGTCACAAGGTGCAACCCTTTCTTTGCACTTGCCTGGATGAGTTTTCAGGTTCGATGTGATATTGAGTATTTTGCTATTTTTTTCTTGAAAAAGCAAAAAGCTTCATTTCAGTTTGACCGAGCTGATTACTTTGAAATTTGAAGTCATTAACTTTGGAGAACACTTAACGTTCTTTCAAATAAATTACTAAACGCGATTTCTTTCCAAGATCTGCATTACCGTACTCGTCCGAAAGTCAAGCGAAAAAACATGCAATTTGAATATAATGAACCTGTACTATCACTAAATAAGCCACTTATAAAACTCTAGACACAACAAAATTATACACGCAGACCTTCATAGACAAGGAGAATCACACATTTAATCTAGAGAAACCTATTAACTTACTTCGTCTACAAAAACGCGCCCTTTCAATAAAAAAAACGTTCTGTGACCGCCTTTTTCTATTTTTATCACGTCTTAATTATATTGGGCTGCTGCCCAAAGGTTATTTACTCGTTCTCTCCCTCTGCTTAAAAAAGTTCATTTCTTAGCTGCACTTCTAGAACATTTCTAGCACTTGTAGCGGAGTTAAGGTGATTCGGACGCGAATCTGGGCTTCGATGCGCTAAACTTCGAGGGAAGACCAATAATTACAAAATATGGGAAAGTTTCCGGAAAAAATTCTTGTTTTTGGGCATTCCCCCACTAATAAGTCTATTAACTTCGTTTGGATCACTAACCTATGTAGTAACTTTACATAACAAAGGGCTGAAAAGCTAGTATATTTAGAATGTACAAGATTTTACTGTTTTTCTGATTACAAGAAGGCTACGAAATTTGCGTCAAACATAGGCTCTCGCCAATATCATCTTTACTTCTTTAATTTAGCGTAGACTTGGCTGCTTATGGGCTTTGAATTTTTTTTTCACAAGTAGGCAGTTCCTTGAAGATTTGCATTTATAGTGCAAATTTCAATTTGTTAAGTATTCGCATCAGATCTTGATACTTGACTTATTTCCGGCAGTTGGAAAGAATCAAAATTCTCATGATCTTGTTTTCAACTCTGTAAGTTTAACTGCTCATGTAATCTGAATATGCTCATAAAATTCGAAGTCATATTTCAAACGCATTTTTTGAGTTTTTTTTACATAAATTTCTATTTTATGCAGGTTTTTTCTCATGTAATAGTTTGGAGTGAATTCTGAATTGATAGAAAAATTAATTTTTGAGTCAATCTGTCGTTGGGAATAACAAGTAATGGGCCCCGAAACATTTTCGCAAGTGTAGCGGAAAGTCGGGTAAAGGGAAGTTGAGGCTATTTCAGCTTATATACATAGATCCAATTTTCGGTATTTTATAGAAATACTAGCTGGCTTACCCGGCTCCGCCCTTCCCTGCCAAAAACGATAAAGGTTCCTTTCCTATCCCTGTACACCTTTCCCTGTGCACACTTCTTCATGCAATTCCCTTTTCCCGCTGTGTTAGTAATCAGCATGCTCCCTGTGCCAGTTCCCAGCCCCGTAGCTTGAACTTTTCGAAAAATCGATAAAATCGATAAAAGTAGCGGATAATTCCAAAAACTAATATTGTAATATTCGTAATCAGCACGCTCGATTACCCTCCCCCCCCCCCCTTCCTGTGCCAACTCCCAACCCGTAGGTGAACTCTGCAGAAGAAATCGATAAAATTCGATAAAATCGATATCGATCGATGACGAAAAGTAGCCTATGACACCCGCCCGGCCCCGAAGTGTATGTATGTAAAGTTTGGTCCGGATCGGTTCAGAAATGGAATTTTCTATTTGGAAGATACGTATACACAGACATATACAGAGAGACATACATACAGACAAACAGACATCCAGCTTTATATATAAGATGTAGTTCCCTACCTGAGAGGACTTCTTAGTTAACATATAATTTTTATTATTTAAACATTTCACCATTAGCTATTTTCATGATAAGTAACTCATGCAGAAACTTTTGCTTCTGGCAGACGTCAAAAAAACCTATTCTCATTGTTCTTCAGCATCAAATCAACTCTCCTAGCTCTCAGGCGTGTATGTTTTTGGTCTAGACATAGGTTTATTTGTTTTCAAGCTTTGCTTCATTTCCTCTAAACAATGGAAGTTTTTTCCCACGTATTTTTTGTGTCAAGTGATGCAAAAGGGCTTGTTTGATAATGTTTGATTTGTTTGATACTTTGTTTTCTTCTTCTAAAGAGGGTTATAAACTTGAGTCATTCAGGGGGGGGGGGTAGGGAACATACTCGGGAATCAAAAGAGTAGGCTAGTTGTTTTCACACATCTCCAAGCAAATTATTCACGCTTTGTGTGGCATAATTTATAAGCAAGCAAGAGCGGGGGGGGGGGGTAAGGGGTAACAAGGGGAGAGCCTCTATACATATTAGGAGGCGTGGCACTGACACTGTGAGCCATCTCGCAAAGCCGTGAGGTGCTCTGCAAGAACTCATTATATTCCTACTCTTCGGCTGGAGCAATGAGTCACTTTCGAGCACATTTGCTTCCTAGTCTCTTTGTCCCATGATCCTTGCTCTCAATTTTTTCTTCGACAACTTTTTTCCGTCTTTTTTATTGTACGTAACTACGGATTCTACGAATTTTCGAGTCCAAGTCTACCACTTTTTCAGAATGAAATCCATGGATGATCCGCTCAACATGACTAGCGCAGTACTAGATACGGACCCTACAGCTAGCGGATTTCCTCCTGAGCCGATTTTCTCCGATTATCTAGAGATGATCTCGCTCGTCGTTATGTTCATCGTTGGGGCTCCATTGAATCTAGCTGCATATACTCAGGTAAATGAGTCAGAGGTCTAGATTTTGCTGAATTGGATTGCTTGGATTGTTAGGCCTTGTCATAGCGTAAATTTAGATGAAAATAAGAATTTTTACGAAATATTTTTTATTGAAAAAGAAAGAATTGTAAAGCATGTGAAGACGTGCTAAAATCAACAGTAAAACAGATCCGTTTTCTTTCCTTTGTAAGAGGTTTGTCTTGAATTTCAGGCCTCACCTATACTTTATTTTGACTTCATAAACAAACAGATTTTGGACGGGGGGGGGGACTAAAGCGTTTATTGATCTATAGCTGACCGATCCTATAACCATACCGTTTTACCATTTTCACAAAGAACAGAGAAAGCTGTCTCCTCGATTACAGCAGATCTTAGGGCTGGTTACTGTAGGGTTACTGTAGAATTACAGTAGCCAGGTTCTTTGTCGAACTTTTTGTAAGCTCTTTTGCATTCTATGCAATTCTTTGGTCCTCTTTCTCAAACCTCAACTGTGCCAAATCTTCGCAAAAAAAAGAATTTCTGCTTGATCTGTGTAAATTATTTGTGCTTTTCAATCTCTGAAGCAAACCTATTCTTTCGTCTTATGGCAGCTAGATTTAGACGAATTCCGCTGCAGACCGAGATTAGCTTAGTTACCAGACATGAACTCAAATTCTATCTGCTATTTTTACGCCTTATACGTCAGCAATCTGCAAATTGGCTCAAAAATAGAATTTTTTCTTTTACTGACATTTAAGCGGACAGAGTAATGACCAGTTCTCTTACTGAATAAGATACGTTCTGAAAATGTCAATGAACTTTATTTTGGGTTGAACTTGACGTCTACACACCCAATTTTAGTACTCTAAGGTTATTTTTAATGCTACGAATATACTCTTGAGAATTCTGAGTACAACTATGATAGATGGAAGCAGCAAAGCGTAAGATAACACATCTAACCTCGAAAAAGTCTTGCACTACGTTGCACTTAAACCTTATGATACATTTACCGGCTATTTTTGAAAATCAGCTCGTATGTTTCGATTTTTGAATGTCAGGGGACATGTGCCATGCTCACGCGTTGTTTTTCTTTATTCATCCAATTATCCTATTATGTCCCGATGTGTATTGCAACTGCCCAAAACATTATGTATACGTGGGAAAATCGCCATGATCAGCTAAAATTGTTGCTCCATTGTCAACGATAAACCAATTATTCGCGAAAATAGGGTTTTCGCTGCTTTTGATAGTGTGAAAAGGGTGTGTTATATTGCGCACAATGATGTATTATAAGCGTAATTGGCTTCATTTTGCTCTTCGGGACTGGATGGTTATGTATATTGAAGGCCTCAAATCAGAGAACAAAGAAGGCAAATTCCAAAAAAAAATGTAAAACAGAATCTTTATCATTTCTAATACCAGTTTCAAACACCCAGAATTTTTTTCTAAATTCTTTAATTCGAGAAAATAGAAAAGGGAAATTATGTAGTAAAAAACTGCTTGAATTTGTTCTTTAGCTAAATGTTCGAATCTTCATAATAGTGCCAATAGTAGCATCTTAAAGAAAATTGAGGGACCTTGATATAATGAGAAATACGGAGCTTTTCCCTCTTTCGTTTTCTCTCTTTACACCTTCGTTTAGATTTGCCTAATCCCAAAAATGATGTTTTCATTACAAATGATTTTTGATGTTGAAGCTGAAAGTCCAGTCAGAATCTCTTGTAATTTCGCACGTTTCGTGATAAACAACATTGCGTGAGAATCTCATGATTTATTGAAGCAAATGACGAAAAACATATCGCCATCAAAGTCCATGAAAAATAGCTCGTAGTAATTCGAGGCAAAACCGGGAAAATGCATAGAATTCGAATGTAAAAATTTTGGCAAACTCATAGCCACTAAACTTTTTTGAATCGTTTTTAGCGAGAGCTTAGGGCCAAAACTTCCGCACAACTTTTGTTCTGAGCTTAACAGTTTGGTCTGCCTTGGACAGACCGAACAACCAAAGCCCAACTTTTTTGTGAAGATTCATGCATTTAGATTAAATGCAAAGCTAACGGATAGTTTTTTCAGTCATCTGTCGTGTTCTGTAGAAAAAAAAACTTGCAAATAGAATTTCTGACAGCTCATTCTGCAATCTTGATTTTTTTCTCACCAGCCAAAAGCACCAGAAGTACATAGTTTTCCATCCCATAGAAATGGAAATGACCTTGGTGAACTCCCAAATCAAACGAGATTTGTCTGGTCTGAATGTTGACCGGAAACACATTTAGCATGTGTTCCAAAAAGATCAAAAACCCGACTACGTAAGTGCTCAAAAGTGCTAGAGCCGTGATTGAATTTCACTTTCCTTTCGCTTAAAAATAGATTCTGAGAAATTCAAGATAAGTTGGCACTTAAGAATCGAAAGTGTAGGATTTTGCTCAGAGTGCGATCGCCTACGTCTCTTCTTGTAAAAAGTGACATGTACTTTGCAGAGCCTTAGAAGACCTAGGTCCGAGGAACAATGGCGACTATCTTGAAATAGTGTTTTTCACTTTTGCGAGAACACTTCCAATTGAAACAAGGAACTTATCTGGCCAAGAAAAAAGCTCTAACTTTTTTGCGATTTCATTATCATCACGAAGGCGGCTGGAATCTAGCACATTATCTTTAATGCAAATAAATTCTTATCCTATCTCGTCCTAAAACATCTTCTTGTGTTTTTCACGTGACATGTGCTCTTTTGATAATCATTAAATTATGATGCTAGCCAAGATAACGTGGAAAAGCGAAATTTATAAAATCGAAAAAAATGCTTGAAGCTGCTGCAACATTTTATATCAAGTTTGCACACTTGGACGAACTTTAATGCCAATTGATGTAGAGAGAAAAGCGGAAAAACAGCAAGTTCCATCCACTGCTTATTATGCGGGGACACTGGGATGTAAACATAGAGAAGGAATGAGAAATAATGCAACTAAGAGATTTGAGGGAAAGTTTGTTTAATGAAGGTTTTTTTTGCACAAGTGAACCGTACAAGGCCGTAATCGCTATCTCTGAAAGGGAATTCTGCTAGTATGGCTCTTTTCGCCTAAGCAAACTCAAGAAGAACCTTTCAAAATGTGTAATGCACAAACGCGCTTCTCACCTCTTCATCCCGCTTAAGACTACGGTAGTATACTGTAACGTGCAAAACAGTCGCTGATGTATCTAAAAAAATAGTTTAGAGTTTGTGGGTTTGCTCCATACAGTTGTACCCTTTTCTTTCCTTTATGTTCGGAACAATTTTTCGTTGCAAAACAAAAGCCAATTTTTTATGAGCAAAACTTTCTGAAAAACACTTTTCAATCACGAATTTTTCAAACAACTTCCCTGGTCCATAAATTAGTACTGTTTCAAAATAATAATAATAACATTATTAACCATGGAACGGCTTCTTTCGCACAAAAAACGATCACCAAAACATGATTAATCAATGCAACACGCAAAGAAATGGCCTAATCTTGATCTCTAGAGTTTTTCTTTCAATACCTTTTTTTATCGAACTGAAAATGTCTTGGAGTGCTCGATTCTTCAATACCGCACCTAATTCTCGCCCCAAAATGTCCCATCTAAGCGGACATGTTTACCCTTTACAATAGAACTCTGCTCAGCAATGGCAAAAATTGCTTCACTACTTTCCTGTTTATTGTTCAGCTACGGCCTTAATCGCATCCAGCTTCGTTGTCGCCTCGAAGGTTGAATTTTGCTGATCTTTCCAGGTGACAAAAGCGGGGTGCGGCGAATCGGGGCAAAAATTATTACAGTAATTATATTTGATGTCTTTCGGGAAAAGATAGGGTCAGGAACTGCTTCAAAGGATCGTAATAAGTTTGAATGACGTGTAGTCACTGGCGCAAACCGTCAACTTTAGCTGGATACAAAAAAAAAGAAATATTTGCATCATATTATTAAAATAATCCATGATGCCTTCCGTAACTATAAAACAAAAAAATGAACGTTAATATTGAAAATTGCTCCTTTCACGCTGAATTGCAAGTTTTAAACGTTATAATTTTGAATTTATGATGACGGCTGATGACGCGATAATTCATGGGTTTGGAAAATAATGCTATTTCATCACTGGCCTTTACATACCGGCCTTTGGGAATTTATTTTGACTTCGGTGAATTAGCACCGGGATTTTGGAGGGGAGGAAGAAAGCGCTAAAGCCTTGATATGATTTAGAGCGAGCCGATCTTATAGCCATACCGTTCTACCACTTCTACAAAAAAAAAGAAAGAGCTGCCTCGTTGCAATATAGCAGGTTTTACGGATGATTACTGTAGGCTTACTGTAGCTTAGGCCTTTGCTAGGTACAACTTTAAGTTGCAGAGCGTTTTGAGCGCTTTTTTGTGCGTTTTATAGGGCACTTTGTGCAATTTTTCGTGCTACTCTACTTTCTAATCAAAATCCTTTTATTCCCCTGTATGATAGCTAAACTTAGACGAATTTCGCTGCAAACTGAGATTAGCTCGGTTATCAGACATGAAAAGTCTGTCTCCTATTTTACCCCTCATACGTCAGCAGTCTGCAAATTTGCCCAAAAATAGAATTTTTTTTTCTTTGAAAGACATTTTTAGCTGACAAACTAATGAACACCTTCTTTTTCAATAAGAGGCGTTTCGTAAATGTCAATGAACCCAATTCCAGGCTGAGATGACGTCTATGTTCCCATTTTTAGTACCCTAAGGTTATTTTCAAGGCAAGCTATACTCTTGAGAATTCCTAGTACAATTTTGGTAAATGGAAGCAGCACAGCGTAAGATAGCAAATGTAATCTCGAAAAAGTCTTGCACTACGTTGCACTTAGATGTCGGGATATTTTTAACGGGGATATTTTGAGAAATCAACTCATCTTTCAATTTTCATGCGTCAGGGGACATATTCTATGCTCACGCGTTGTTTTTCTTTGGTCATCCAATTATCCTATTTTGCCCGATGTCTGTTGCAACTGCCCCAAAACATTACGCATATCTGGGAAAATCGTATGATCGACAGATTGCTGCTCCATTGTCAACGATAAACCAACTATTCGCGAAAATAGCGTTTACACTATTTTTAATATTGTGAAAGGTGTGTTATATTGTGCACAGTGATGTATTATTGACGTAAATGGCTTCATTTTGTTCCTTGGCCCACATTTATGTTCTCAAAGATCAGAGATCAGGAAAAAATATGGAAATCTAGATGAAGAAAAGGTTATTGAGAAAAGATTTCCACCTTTTAGATTTCTGGTTCAAGTATCTAAAATCTTCTCGGATTTCAGATAAAGAAAATTAAGAAAAATACGTGTAGTTGCCTTTGTGCCGCTTTTTGGGTTTTATTTGTTTACATCGAACTTTCCAGATTGGAGAATGCTTATTATTACCTATTTTATTCTTCTATAATTTGGAACTTCAAAGGAAAAACTGAAAAATTCCAAATGTTCTTTTCCTGAAAAAAAGGGTTGGAAATGAAAAATTGCTGGAAATCGAAACTACATATAACAAGCGAAGTTTGCAGCATTTCAATTGAAACAAAACCCTTCAACGTGTAAAAAAATTTGAGACTGATGGGTAATGCTTGAGAAAAATTAGCACCTCTTTAGCGCTTCCTGTGTTAATGAGGTTTTCAGAAAATCTAATATGCTCTTAGGACAGCATTTGGGTAAGAAATAGAGTGGGTACATAGCGATATAAAGCGAAAAAAAACAGAGGAACGACGTATTAGGAAACGGTCAATAGTTAGAACCTAAATTGATGTCAATAACAGACTGTTAAGTGCTAAAATTCATCGCTTTCTCAAGGTTTGTAAAAATCCTTTATGTCAGAGATTATTGATGTTAAAAGTGAAAATTTGCTTAAAATCCATTGTAAATAATTTTCGCGCGTTACGTGATAAACAACATTGCGTGAAAATCCTATGATTTACTGAAGCAAATGATGAAAAAACACATACATCGAAGTCTATGAAAAGTCGCAGCTTGTAGTGTCAGTGCCTTTAGATTTATGTCAAAGGTGTTGAGTGCGCGATTCTCGAATATCTTAGACCAAATTTCAAAACAAATTTTGAGATTTTTTGATTGGAATCGGACTCGTTGGTGAAATTTTGATGTGGGAAATGAGATTAAAACTTTCCTAGGTACAACTTCTTTTTGGAGCCGTGCTTTGCCATTGCGTTATGCAGAAAATTTGCAATTGGAATTTCTTGCATCTCACTTTACAGCTTTTATTCCTCTCAAACTCCAACAGACTTGAAAATATATAAACTCTCCCCATAAAAACGGAAACAGCCTTACTGTCCTAAATCAAGCCAAGTTTGTCTGTTAAATGTTGACCGGAAACACACTCAGCATGTGTTCAAAAAGATCAAAAACCCGATTACGTAAGCGCTCAAAAGTGCTAGAGCTGCGATTGTGTTTCACTTTCCTTCCGCTTAAAAATAGATTTTGAAAATGGCACTTAAGAAGTGAAAGTGTAGGGTTTTGCCAGAGAGTGCAATCGCCTACGTCTCTACTCCTAAAAAGTGACAAGTAGTACTTTGAAGAGCTTTGAAGATTCACGATCCTTGAGAACAATCGTAATCAATCCAAAATGGATGTTTTTCACTTATAAAGGAAATATTTTCGATTGAAATAAGGAACTTTTCCGCACGAGGACCTTTTTTTAGGGAATTTCATTTCGAAGACGGCTTTGAATTTCTTGCCTACTCGTCCTATCAACCTTTCTTTGTGTTTTCGTTTGAAAATGAGCTCTTTTGATCACTCTTGCCACATTTTATACCAACTTCGCACACATGAACAAACTTCATTTTTAATTAGTGTAGAGGGAAAAGCGGAAAAAACATCTAGTTTCATTTTTATTGCTTATTAAGCGAGGATAGGATACTGTGAACACGAATTAAAAGTGAAAAATAATCTGAGGATTTGCTGTGTGCCTTTACTTGCATTTAACCGTACACTATCGTAATCCCTGTCTCGATTGCACAAGTACAGTTGCACTACCGTAACCGCTTCCTAGAGCAGCAGATCTCTCTAACATGGCAAATTCCCTATTTTTGCCTATCATAAAAAATAAATTCTGTTTTGATCATCTAGTATAAGGAAGTATTTACCATCTCAACTTATGTCTCGGACTTCGGTAGTATACTGTAGAGGTGTAAATTGGCTATGCAACTACTAATGCAAAAAAATATGGTCCAACTAATTTTTGTGAAATACCCCTTGATACGAGGCATTTTTTTCAATTTATAAAATGTTGAAATAATTTTTCCTGCCTGAAAAAGCTCCATACTCCGACGCGTATGGATTCGGAAACTTTGAAAGACATCCGAGTTCTAATGTACATTTTCTGATTATCATTTGGCATCAGCATTTATATGTAGTTGAGCGATAATCATTGCTACTAAAACAGCTTCTTCCACTCAAAGAACGATCAGCAAGTCAGCTGTCTGTAGTCCCAGTATGTGAGATTAGCATGCAAAGAAATGACCTAATCTAAAATAGTGCGAATTTTTATCTTTTATTTAAAATGAGAATACCTTGTCAGGGCTCGATCTCTAAATTTCACACCTGATTCTCGCCCAAAAGTGTTTCATCTAGACCGACATGTTTACCCCTTTGGATAGAACTGCTCAGCAATGGCAAAATTGGCCTCACTACTTTCCTGTTTATTGTTCAGCTATAGCCTTGATAGCATCCACAACCCGGGTTGCCTTGAAGGGTGAATTTTGCTCGTTTTTCAAGGTGACAAAACTGAGAAATGTTGACTGAAAATGTGACAAAAAATAAAAACAATTGTATTTTTAGAGGTCTTGTGGGAAAATAGGATCAGCAACACTTCAAAGAATTCAAATTAGTGGCGCATAATCATTGGCGCAAACAAGCTGGGTCTCAAAGCCATAAAATACAATGCCATCACACTACTATCAAAACAAACTGTGTACCCCTTTTCCATGATGTCTTGCGTGACTATAAAACAAACTAATTGCGCATAATACTGAAAATTTTATCTCATTCACTAAATTATATGTTTTAAACGTTGTAATTTCAAATTCATGATGACGGATTGACGCGGTAATTCATGGGTCTCAACCAGCTACCGCTTATTCATCTTATACAAGCGAAATTCTAAGCACTATAGTTTGGGGGGGGGGGGGGGGCTGTGCTTTTAAACTTCCCTTCAGCTAGGAATTTCACATTGAACATGCGTGAATCCAACGTAAATCAATCTAAATTCTCATTAGAGTTACTAACTTGAGAGAAATCTCATTGAAATTTGAAAGAAGATTCTAGTTAATCTGGGAGAGAAAGTTAATCAATCATAATTAGTCTCATTTATTTCATAGAGTAAATCTGGAGCCATAGAGGGGAGGGCAAGTCGCAAATCAAAACTTTGCTGTCAAATGTATTTACACGGATTAGAAATTCTGTCGCAATTATCGCAATTACTATACAGCTACTGAAAACTGCAAAAAATCACAATTTTGGCCAAGTTCTATCAAAAATAGAATCATGGACAAAATACCAATCCATTACTGTACATTTTCAGTTGGCAGAACGACAAGTGACGAGTCGGCTCGATCTCCTAAAACGACACCTGAACTATACGGATCTACTCGTAATATTCATCTATGTACCATCACGGGCTTGCTGGTTGTTAACATACGACTGGCGAGGAGGTGATCTCTTGTGTCGCCTTGTGAAAATGATGCATACGGTAGCATTTCAGGTGGGTAGATTTACAAACATTTTCAAGCAAATCTAGGTACATGGGTTTTTATGTGTGGAGGGTTTAGGAGGTTAGGAGTAAGTCAATGTCCAAGCGGCATCTCGAATGATTCATTTTTGGCAGAGATAGATAAGTCTGAACTCCCGCCCAGACCATAGGAACACTATAGCAGGTACAGTTTGGGCGAGAGTTTAGCGTTGAATTTCGCGGCCTCTAATCAATAATATGAGCTGCCGCTTGGGCACTGACTCGTTTATAGCCTACCAATCAGTTCCCACATAAGAAACCCATGCACCCCGAAAATTGAATTAGCTGCAAACCCCAATGACATGTTTTTTAGTCATCTTCGAACGTCATCGTCTGCATTGCATTGGATCGCTTGTTCTCTGTATTCTCAGCGACACGACATTCACCTGAAAAAGCGAATCGTCGAATACGAATCATGCTTACAGCGGGTGGGACTCTTTTTTTTATATCTCTCAGATCGAATAGAATAAAAATGTGTAAATTTCAGCATGGACAACAGCCTTCATAATTGGCATACCCCAGCTGATCGTATGGAAAACTTATGTACCATTCTCTCATCTTAGCTGGACTCAGTGTTTGCAAGTGAGTTTTCTTTTTCTTTTTTCAAACTCTAGAAAAGAGAGGAGCATTGCATATTCATAATGCTAACAATAGACTCAAATTACTCATGCAGGAAATTAATTGCTGCTTGCTGAATAAGAGAACTTGGGATGGCAATAACAATTTGTGTAGTTGACAAAGGCGGAAGTTAAAAACTCGAATCTCAAAAAAGGAAAAAATAGGGGACTGGCCATTATTTTACACAAAGAAACAAAGTAACCCTTGATAAAGTCGAGAACTGTTTCCCAAACTAAGGTTTTTTTCAAATAAATGCGGTTTTTAGAATTTTGATGATGATTACAATTTAATATTTGTTGCTATCACAGTGATTTAAAAAAAGTTGTAGGCATGGTTTTTCGCGAAATTAGCGACTTCTAAAGTCCTTAAACATAATGCCAGTTACAAAAAATTTATTTTCGAGACAATATGCTTTGCCTATCATATAAAAGAGTCGCTTTCAGATTTGGGAAATAGCTCGTATAGAAAATGTGTCAGCAAGAGGTAAACTATTCGATGCGGAATCTTTCTACTCTTTGGCTCACATTGGATTAGTCTTCTGGATTCCAGCTCTGATTGTTGTGGTAAGTTTGATAATTCATTAGCCACAGGGTGTTTGCAATTTTTGGGCTGAAAATGATGAAAAATTATGGAAAAGCGTCAAAGTTTTCAAAAAATCCGTAAATTTGTAGAAAAGAATTGGGTGGGGTAGATGAATGCACGGCGATTTTTGAGAGTAGTAATATCATCAAAACTGTTCTTTCTTGCACAAGGCAGTGAACATTTTCTAAGATGCCTTAATTAACAAATTAGAAATTTTTTCCAAGATGCAAGACAATTTCCATCATCTCTATGGTAAGAAAGATATCCAGCTTAGATCCTAATTTTTCAACTTTTCTGAGTATTTAAGCTTGTCAGAATAGCAAGATCTGAGACTTGGAACGAAGATGGATGCGGCAAAAATCCCCGGAGACCAAAACCTCACCAAAAACAATACTTAATACCCCAGAGCTTTGTCTTACGCAGTAAAAAAAATGGGTTTTACTGGATTCATGGTTCAGTTGGGGTAGTTCGGACGAGTTGACAGAGTATGTCTGAAAAAGAGGAAACAACATAACAATAGTAGATTTAAGGGTAGACTGCAAGTTTGAAAATCCCAAAACACAGGGAAATGCCTGATGAAAAATTATCTAGGTATTCTTAATGGATTAGCTATGTAAAGTTCAGGAAAAGCGGTGTGCAAGAAAAGACTTTTTCTTTTCACAAACAATTTTTCGCATCAAAAATTTCAGTAAATATCAAAGAAAAACTCTTGCACTGCTTTTTACAGATACCGCTACAATATAAAAAGAATTTCGCGCATTTAACAATCCAGTAAAACTCAGGAAATATACTCTTTCACTGTTTCTTGAAGACCTTCCTTAACTGTAACTGATGCACTACATTTTATCAGATATTTTCTCAAATTTTCTAACTATTTTCAGATTTGCTACGTAATTGTGCTGACGTGGGTATTCGTCAATTCGCGTCCTTCAATATCGGGCAAACGTACACTGTCACTTCAAACAGGATGTGAGACGGTCGACACCGTATTGACAAGAGCATCAGGTGAATAATACGATTCTTAGAATGTCTTTACTACTACCATGGAAAAAGTGGGGAATTTGAGATGAAATTTTGCAAGAATCCGTTTGAGATATAAGACAATCTGAAAAAAGAAATCTCACTGACCGTGGACATTGCTTAGCAGGAAATTGCACAATTCATTCATTGTCGAAATAAATCTGAAGTCTTGTTTAGGACCGTACTCTTGCTCTTTCTGAGCGGACCAATCAGCGTCCCCTGAATACGGTAAACTTGTTACCCCGCGTAGAAAGAGTACGGTCTAGTCAAGAACTCGATTGAATTTCTTTCTTAATCACAAAAAAATTTATGAATTGCCGTCTGAGCAATGGCTGAGACAAATCTGGATCACGGATCAGTATCCGCATGGGATGCCCAGATGGGTAGAGGAACGAACACATCAATTAGGCACCGCCTCCGCAGGCTGTTGGTCCTCTCGTCCTACTGTTGTGCATCGCGTTGGGACCACTAGTCCATGTAGAGTGTGCTGAGGTGTTCGTTCCTCTACCCTGCTCAGATTTGATTGGACAGCGCTCCAATGCGCAAATTGCGCCCCAAGATAAGCGCTCTTTCGACGCCTTTGAATCGCAATTCAACGCGTTAATGCGTGGAGATTTTACCTGCGTCAAATTCAACTATGACCTAAATTTTCATATTATTCATATTCAAAGTGTAATGCCTAACATGACATCCTTTGACCTTTCAAAAAACCTTCTCCAAATCGTCACAGTCGTGGATGCTGCCTATACAGTCTGTCTCAATCAGCAACTCCCTACGTACGCTTGCGAACGCGCTGCGGGGCTCTGGCGCGTCATTGGAAGGGAAGTTCACGAAGGATAAAGACTGTATAGCCTGAGTTGTCTTGGTGAATAATGACCAAAATAGAAGCGCACATAAAGCTGTTAGAAAAGCGCTAGTGTCTGCATTTCAGAGTGGAATCCTCTGAAAACGTTTTCACTCGCTAAATTGAAGGATGTCAAAGAGGACAAGAGCATAGGTGAAAGCTCTCTCCTTTTTGCAATTTGTTTCTTGCAAGTAAGCAGTGTTATTTCAGGGCCTCCACGGATAGTGGTGTCCGACGAGTCGTCAGTTCCACTAAACTCACGTCCGTCGATCGCATCCAGTGATGCGAGTGTAGTCATCAGGACAAGTGTACACAATAGTCAATCGTATCACGCTAGTGTGAATAGGTAAGTGGCCCATAATCGAAAAATTTGGTTGTTTTCGAAACCGAACATGCCCTTACAACAATGCCGCAGGGGGAAACAAAATGCGATTGTTTGTTCTCATAATTGAGTATGATGAAAACGAGTTCTACGCCTATTAGTCACAGATGGAAATCAGTCTAAAACGGGTGGAAAAAATTCGGAAGGGTGTAGAGGAAAGGAGGGGCCCGAAGAGGGATGTGGTAGAGACGATGTTCAAAGGCAGTGCCCTAGCAAATCGAGGGAGGTTCAATCTCCCGATCTCAATCGGGCGCTGTTTCACCGTTATAAACGAGGCATATCACCCGATCGGGAGCTCGCTGATAATGGTGAGACAACGCTCAACCAAGATTGGGAGGTTGAGAAATACCGCTCCTGGACACATAAATGGGCTGCCCTTTGGAAACTAATGGGGAGAAGTGGCCTAATAAAGACATTGTCTAGGAAGAGGTGAGAAATCACCTGCAAATTTCTCACTCCTAGTCCAACACCGTAATTCAGCGCAGGTATAGTAGGAAATGCTTTTGAGCGGACTCCACGTCAGCACCGTAATCCAGCGCAGGTGTAGTAGGAAATGCTTTTGAGTGGACTAATCGCTGCCAGCGGGTCCCTGCGCGAAAACCTTTAAGGATAAGTATACTTGCTTGCAAATCTAAACGGATTCCTCACATGAAAATGATGATGGGGGAAGGGCATTCAGCTGTAAAAAACGGCCCAGGCGGCAGCGCATGATTTATTCCGCCAGAAATTCACCTCTAAGCACCCCTATTACTGCATTAAAGCATACGGTAATAGGGGTACTTAGAGGTGAATTTCTGGCAGCATAGATCATGCGCTGCCGCCTGGGCCGTTATTTAAAGTTAAATGCCCTCCCCCCCCCCCCACCCTTTCATCACACACTCTCATGTGAGAAATCTGTAGATTTGTAGCCTTTGGGACATATAAGCACCCTTTTCCATGGCATTCTCGACCCCAATCCTCAATAATATCTGTTCTCATTGGATACAATCAAAATAATTACGTATTCAGGTCAAGGGCCGTACGAGTCTCATTCTTGCTGGTCATGGCATACATCATCTGCTGGTTGCCATACAATCTACTAAGCTTAGTACATCTCATAGATTCGCAGCTATTCGCCAACAGTTTCATAAAGGTAAGTGGAATCATTCAGTTCAGTTGTCAAAAAGAATAATGACACTCCTTTGCAGCTGTACTTCCTTCACGGATTCATGGTGTTCAATTCTGTTGTGAACCCGTATCTATATGGGTTATTCAGTCGTCATGACAAGACACGGAGAAGAAATCACGAGTAGCCCGGCAATGCTAGGCATTACATGCATAACGGGTCGATTTGTTGATCTCTCGAATAAATTATTTTGTAAATCTTCATTCGCACATGAAGCACTATAAGACACTATCACAACGCGCCAGAGATACGTCATGCACACCTTCTGTATTTCAAGAAACAAACAATCACACAAACAAAACATGCCGCTAAAAAGGAAAGAAAGTCATAGACATTTATTACAAATATCTATAAGACAACAACAAACACGTGAGAAAATAAATTAAAGACGTATATGAACAGATTAGAAGAACATGGCTGCCATGCCTCCCATCTCTTGTTGTTCTTTGACAAAAATCTCGAAATATTGATAAATGATGGTAACAGCAAGAAGTATACCAGTTCCACTTCCAATAGCACCCATGAAGTCTGCAGTTACGGACAAGGCTCCGATGCAAAGACCTCCGAAAGCCGCAGCAGTGGGGATGTACCGATTCAGCTCGTGGATCATGGATTTTTCACGGTGACCACGCATTACCATTTGCTGTTCTTTGAGTTGCTTGGCTACATCTTTGGCCGATGATCCGGACACATCAATCCATGTCTTCGAGAAGAACGCGCAGGAACCGAGCATGAAGATTATGTAGATAATGCAGTGGATGGGATCCTCGAGCACGTGAGACAAAGTATCCGGTGGTGAGAGATAGTAGCAGATACCTGAAAACGACTTGTAAGTCATGAAATACTCTTCTGGGTGTGATAAGTCAAACTGTCTAGCGATAGACAAGAAGGCAAAAATGCTAATTGTGATGCGGCATGACTAGAATGCTTTTCACAATCAAACTATCCATAAGTTTGTCACATGTCATGAGAAAGCGCAATAAACTCTAGGATAAGCACAATCAATGAACACTCTTAAAAGTAGCGCAGAAAAAGACTTCGGCTTCTTTGTGAGCAAAAAATATGCATGCTTACTTAGGCAACTTCTATACCTTCAGAGGTGCCGAGTAAAAAACAATGATATTGCAATCCTTACCTCCAGTGGGGTAACTACGGTAACTTCCCGATGCATCTGACCATGTTCCAAGCAGGTTAACCAAAAAGTTTCCTCCGAACTTCGCAGCAAGCATCTACAAAGAAAACTTCGTTGGTACTTTTGCACCACATTAGACTTGTTATTACTCACCTGCGAGATAACGTAAAGGTTAGAGACAAGTGCGGACTGTAGGATGATTGGGATGTTCGAAGTGTAGAACAGCTTGATGGGATAGCTGCTGTACTGACCACGATAACGAGCCGATTTTATGGGAAGATCGACACGGAAGCCCTAAGGAAATCGACTGATATCACGATGAGATAACGAAAAGTACACTAATTCATACTTGGAAGTAAATGACGACACCGAAGACGACAAAAGTGGCCATGAGATTCATCAGATTTGGCAGGTTGTTTCGGTAGAAAGCCTCACGTAAAGCACGAACCTGAGAAGCAAGTGAAATTTGATAGGCTTCAGGTAACCGCGATAACTGTTATTACCTTGTCGGTACGAGTGGCAAGAAGATGGAATAGAGCGATGACAGCTCCCTCAAACTCAGTTCCTCGTCCAGTGTTCATAGTGGCTGGCGAGAATGCTTTCCATACAATGGTCTCGCAGATGTTAGTGGCAATGAAGAGGGAAATTCCAGATCCAAGTCCATAACCTTTCTGAAAAAAGAGTATTTGAGATGTAGCAAAGAAAACCTTGAACAGAAAAGATAACAAGTTATAATTTGACCATTATATAGAACTGAACAGAATACATGGCAAAACTTGCAGTGATAAATTCTATCTATCATCGGCTCCCAGATTTGTGTGGAGGCGGGTTGCGAACTTCCCTGATTTTCAAGACAGACTTGTCCTCCACGTTACAGCATTGTATGTACTCTCTCGTTAAGCTTATCCTTAAAATCAGGGAAGTCCGCAACCCGCCTCCACGCGAATCCGGGAGCCGATCATACATAGTAGCTTTTATAGCCGAATTCGGAATGAGTGTGTGTAATTGCACACATACTGTGCGTGTAGGCAATATTTTTTTTCGAGCATTCCTGATTTTAGCACCCTTTACTACAAATCGGAAGTGTGGTCAATAAGGAGTCTCAAATTGGTTTGATCTGACTAAAATGACAGATGATATCCAAACAATGACGTAAAATGTGCACATTGTGTGCAATCACACGTATACGAAAGGACTCTGTGGACATGAAAATGATCGACCATACACTTCAAAAGATAAAAATCTTCATCAAGTGCTGCCATTTCAATTTTAAATGGTGCCACGTACGGTAGTGGTGCGCTGGCAGGTGCGAATTCAAAGAAATCGTGGAGATATTTATCAGTAGTATTTCAAATATGTACTACACTCACCTGGAGAAGCTCGTCGAGCAAAAGTACGATGAGACCAGCAATCACGAGCTGAACGACAATAAGCAGACAGATACCGGCTCCAATCTCGGAAGGCTCTCCGTAAAGACCGGACATTACGTAGACGATCGCTTGTCCGACAGTGATCACCATACCGAACACTGCAATAGATTGATACAGCCGAAAGATAAGCATCTTACATTACCACGTACATTTTTGTGCTCCGTTGAAAAGCGCTCGATCCTTCGGGGTATCTCCAACTTCAATGATTTTAGCACCAGCCAAGAGTTGCATGATCAAACCAGAGGTGACAATTGGTGAGATTCCAAGTTCCATGAGAGTACCACGATTTGAGGCGAGGATAACTCGCAACCAGTAGAATGGATCAGCGGAATCAGTAGACATGATTCCTAGAAGGGGGATTTTAGACATATATCATCTTTGTAACCATTGCTCCCAAATGAAAAAAATGTGCGTCATATTCCTTTAAAACAGGTTTCGTACTTTGGTTAACAGCTGTTACGTCACAAAAATGACTTGTAGCTTAAAAACATCAAGACAACGGACAACTTGTACTTCAAGACCACTGGGTAAATTATAATGGAGATATAAGATCTTTTGGGTTCAAAATTGCCTCTCTCATTTACAGTACGTGAATCACAATGGAGAAAAAGAGAAGCATAACCTTCGAATTCACACGACTTTTAAAGAGAAATTATGCGTCTCGTTCGCTTACGATATTCAAAACGGTAATTTGGTCGTAAAATGTGTTGGAGCTTGAAGATTATTTTCGAATTTTCTGCAATACACCTTTTGCGAAAAGTAAACTATGATATCCCGACTTATCGCGCCCTTCCAATTATAGTGTAAGTGGAACTCACCGAAAAGAGGGATCTGACAACAGACTAAGAAAACAAATAGGGTGATTGCTGTCCATAGCATTTTCTCGCGGAACTGAATCTTCCGTTCCGGCTTCGATACCTCGGGCACGAAGCCGCAAAACGGCTTCACGAATTCGAGAAATTTAACTGAAAAGATTCGCTTGGACTGAAAGCACACATATAAATGAAGACGAAAGGGACTTACTTCCCATCCTAGCGGTAGCTGGTTGCCTATAACTCTAAAACGGTACTATAGAGTAGGCGGCCAAAGAAGATGTCACACAGCAAATACACACACGCACGATCAGACCCGAGGCACTCGCCAACTCCGGCGCGTCTCTGTAAAGCGCGATCTGCCAACGCGCTACCGTAATCAACTACAAGCGAAAACGGTTTTCTGCAAATAACCGCGAGCTAAGGAGATTAAGCGAAGTTTGGTAGTTTCTGAACCATTTCTTTGAGCTCTTAGCAAGATCTCAAGAGTAAACTAGTTGAAATAAGCTAAGCATAAGCCTCGAAATGAAGAAAAATCCAAAAATGGCTTAAAGGGCAGCCAAACTGCAAGGTCCTGACATACAAATTATAGGACGCAGCCATAAAGCATTCGCGCGCCCCGAAAGGATTACGCTACAGTGAGCAGAGGCAGCAGCGCTTGCAAACTTTCGCATTTTTAATTCTGCTGTAATTTCTTTTACAGTCCTTTTCTTTTTTCGGAAGAACTACCTACTTTCGAACTCAAGTTAAATCGTCAATTTGTGCTGGTGTCCTCATTGTTTACGTCTCTGTTCCGCCCATGAAGTAGTCTGCTTTTCTTTTTGAATACTTGTCACAGCTTATTTTCGTACTCCTAAATTGAGTCTCTGTTTTGTTTGGATTACGGTTAATACAGGGGAGTCTTCAACGAAGCTATTGCAAGCGGCATTTTCTGGATATAGCATTAACTTCAGAGCAGGTATTAGGATTATCATTTGTTCTTGCTCTTCGCATGATTTACGCTTTAGAAAGTTCTGGAAGTTTGGCAGTAAGAAAACCAAGGGTTTTCTGAAACTTGCTTTACCGACTGTAAACTCACAGCCTTGTGGTAGTCTTTCAGTGGGGTGTTTTGCTTGTGATCTGGGTAGTGCTAGATAAACTATGACAGCGTCCGAGATCAAATTATTGTTAGGTTTTGGCTAGGTCACCATGTTGTCATATGCTGAGCCGGTTAAATGTGTTTTTCGAAGGAGAAACTTCTTGATCTGACAAGGGAAGGAAGGTTAGTCGAAGTGGCCTTTTGAAATGGGGTGTACACTGCCTTGTAGTGCTTGGAGCGCTGATTCCAAATCTACTTTTGCTATCTGCTGCGGGCTTTTGGGCGAGGAGTTATGAAGGTTTTTGTGAGTAAAAACCTGATTGCAAGAGTAGGCTGAAATCAGTCGTAACATTTTTTATTGGGTTTAATTGGTAGTCGGATCACTCGGTGCAAGAAATATTCTTGATTCAAACATACCAATTCGCTGCTGCCTCATTTGAACATTGGGAAAAGGTTACGACTGATTTTAGCCTACTCTTGCACTCAGATTTTTACTCACAGAAACCCTCATAACTCCTCGCCCAGAAGCCCGCAGCAGATAGCAAAAGTAGACTTGGAATCAGCGTTCCAAGCTCTGATTGTATACATCTCATTTCAAAAGGCCACTTCGACCAACCTTTCTGGTGATTTTTCAAGCTTGCTGAAGAATTCGCTCGAGGACTATCAATGTCCAAGTATTTCTTGCATACCTCGTTGGGCTGCACCGGTTTTCAACAAATTAGTTCATCTTCTCGATGTTGTTCTTGTTCACTTTGTCGTTTGTATCGTGCACGTTTTTCCAATATCAACGTGAATCGCTGTCTTTTTTCTTCGTTCGATAATGATGAAGATACGGGTACCACATATTGTATCCTTGAAGTTTACTTTTGCAGTGGTAATAGACGCGACACCATGTCGTTAATAATTCCGGAGAAGTTCCAACATATCCATCGTGTCATGAACACGAATATCGACGGAAACCGCAAGGTTCCATATGCCCTCACTGCCATTAAGGTACCTGCTGTTTTTCTTGAATTGAGTTTTTCATTTTTATTGTACTTTTGTTTCCTTCAGTGATCATCTGCAAGTGCTCAGTTTAGGGTGTTGGCCGTCGTTTCGCGTTCCTTTGCTGCCGCAAAGCTGACATTGATGTGACCAAGCGAGCAGGAGAACTTTCTGAGGACGATTTCGAAAAGATTGTCACAATCATGCAGAACCCTTCCCAATACAAAATTCCTAACTGGTTCTTGAATAGACAGAAGGACATCAAGGATGGAAAATATTCGCAGGTCAGTTTTTTTTGTCATATCCTGTCACTCGTCGGTTTTTTTCCTTGCAGTTTTCTTGAATTGTGAGGGTCACTGCTGACGTAGACTAAACTTCGAATTTTATCCATGTTGTTCATCTGAACGATGTGGTTCCATATCGGAGAACAATTCACCGTTTGCCATTCATTATTCGAATTTGCGTTTGTTTTGCGAAAATTAGCGTGTATATCAATCTATGCCAAGTTTACGTTCATTGAGTAGACTGTCAAGGTGAAGGGAGTAATGGAACATTTTTTTGGACGTAAACAAGATTATATTTCAAAGATGAATCTTCTGACGTGATCCACTTGCTCAAACCTTTCCTTAGGCCTCCAACAAAAGCACTTTTCTTTTGGGGAGTGGGTCTGATACCACCATCTATCTCTAAACGGCTTCCGAGACAATTTTACACTAATTCTTAGCATATGAAAATGTGTGCTGCTAAGATATCTCTTGTCTTATGAAAAGAAAGAGACATGATTCTTGTTGTGCTTTCACCATTTTTCGCTCAAGTCATTATTACTGAGATGCAACGAAAACTTTGCAAGAGTTTATTTTCTTTTCTCAAGCGTCCTACTAACTTTTCATCATTTCTTCTGACGGTTTACGCCATTATAATGTCTATAACATATAATTCTGGCTTTGTGTTAGATGCGCATGTAGGCAAACGTAATTGTGTCTCTAATATTGTTTTTCGAGCGATTGTGGCGGATATCTGATTAACTAAAAAGTCGGGCTCTTTTGATAATTTGCTGTGATTCTCAATGTTGCGGCGGTACTTGATACTTTTTACGTATAGGTTGAAGTACAACAGCTGTTATCAATTCGTAAGTAATTTTTAGGCTTGAGCGAGCACAGTACATGATTGATATTAGCTGCAAAGTTTTTGAACAACGTTTGTCTGCTTCATAGGGTAGGACTCTCTTTACTGCATAAAAATTGCCTTGCAAGTGCGCACGCGAGAAAAGCTACATTACATCAAAAATTGAATGTGTCTAACATCCTTTCGATGTCTGTCATCTTTTGCCTTTCAGCTTCTTTCCACGGCTGTCGACAACAAGCTCCGTGAGGATCTCGAACGTCTAAAGAAAATCCGCCTGCACAGAGGTCTTCGTCACTACTGGGGTCTCCGCGTGCGAGGCCAGCACACGAAGACAACCGGACGCAAGGGACGCACTGTTGGTGTGTCCAAGAAGAAGGGAGGTTAAGCTATGCTTCGTTTTGGGTGTTGTTTTGTTTTGCCCGATAAATTGTTATAATGGTTTATTGATGTCAGAGAATTTGTTTTGCTTCTTTTATCCTTGTGGCTGGGGCGTCGAGTTCCAGACACACGTTGTTGAAGAAGTATCCAAGAATAATCATATGGACCATGGTGAAGCCGATGCTAAAAGTTTTCTTTGAAGTAATGCCGTTGATAAAAGTTTGGTTTTTCTCACTCGGATGGATATATGTTGAGAGAAAAAATGTCACTCAAACCATGGATTATAAGTTTATTGAATATTGTTGATCCTACACCTTCCACTCCTAGGAAAAAGAATACACCAAATATGCCTGAAAGTATAATTAGACAGTCTTCGAGCATAGCAGTAGTTACGAAATACCTGGAATGACAGTGATTATCATCGCCACAGCAATTATTCTCCTAGTATTCAGGTCTCCGACTGCATTTCGCAAATTTTGGAAAGAACTGGTGCGCCAGATATATCTGCCAATTTTTTCCATTATAAGTTCTAGGGCTGATAGGGACACCTAGAAAGCTGATATTGTTTTTCACTTAATAAAATTAATTTACATACCCAGCAAATGTAGTGAGTTCTGATGCCATGCCAAGCCAGTACTACTCCAAAAACTGGTACAAGAGTTCCCAAACCTCTAAGAATAGCTAACGTTGTGGGAAGCTTTGGTCTGAGTAGTGGTATGTAGACCTGAAAGTATTAGTCTTGGTAGAAATTGGGAAAATAGAGTTGATGACCTGATCTCTCAAGAAGCGGTACAGTCCGACATCGAAATGGCGCCACATTCGGGAGTAGCGAGATACCCGGGAGATACAGATGGGAGGTGGTGGCGGTAGCATGCCTGGAAGAGAATCAAAACTGATTTTGATCATTCCAAGGTATCCACAAAAGGACAAACTATGATTAAAAACAGGACGCAGAATTCCGACTTACCATCAAGGTATGCGAAAAATGCTGGAGTACCAAATAGAACGACATATTTCAAGTGAAATAGTTGACCAATAACGTAGGCAACGGCACAAGCTAAAAAAATTAATTGTTAAGGAAATGATGGCAGCAGTAACAAATCTCCCATACTTTCATATGGACCCAAGCGATGAATCACAGCGAATGGCGAGCTGAAGATTGAATGTACATAAATGAAATGTAGAATGAACTCGAGCACGAAAAACCAGAAAATAAGGCGAGCTCCGAAGTAGGCAGTCCACCTGAAGCATTATGGAAATTATAGGGAAACCATGTAGTTTTGAAATAGAGAGTTATTTTGTTCTTATATTTCGAAATTCTCAGATTTTTAGCAGATGACAAATACGACACGTTTTGGATCAGATATGCGTTTTTTTTTGGTGGACAAATTAATATTTCTGAGTCGGTTCCAATGTGGCAAGGGTTGATCCCACAAAGATTAGGGTCAGAAGATGTGTAGAGGTTACTGGATTCAATAAAGGGCATCCATGCAAAATCCAAGTTTTTTGATTACTGCAAGTCTTCAAGCAGCTCCCAAAAGTCCCTATCACATCAGTCTGATCAAGCAATGTATCTCGAATGATGAAAATAGATCTGCCATCTAGAAAGTAACGCCCCTTTGGACCGCGCCCCTAATGCGTTTTGACATGCAAGCTCAATTGATGGGCATACTGACTGTGTTTTTTCTGCTTTCATAGAAGGTGAGTCTGAAACTTGTCCACGCTTGAAAAGAAAGGCAAAAAAGGATTTTTAAGCTTTTTCCGCTTTTTCAATTCATTATCTGAAATCAGAGCCATACGTGTCGAAAATTTGGAGTTGCTGACAAGGCTCAGCACGAGGTGGCTTTCCAAAAATGCAAGGTGCGAAGTTTCCCTTGACTTTCGCCAAATTTTTCCCTTTCCAAGTCCCCTTTGACCCACAAACCTAAACGTAAAAAATAATCAAAAAACGATACTTTGATTGAAAGAAACGTAACCTAAGTTGTGTTTTTTGACTATCTACAAAAACGATATCCCTTTCGCTTCCCAAAAATGATATCCAATTTGCTTATAAGCCATCTGTGAGCTCATTATGCGCCGAGAATTCCCATTGTTTACGCGAAATCTTATTTGTAGCACAAAGATCTTAGGCCCTGAGGTGTAAGCAAGTTGTAAAAAATTATTTTTCTCCAATTCAACACAGCCTTTTCGTCCAATCCCTTTTGTAGGTTCTGCAGTGGTCAATTTCTTTTTGAAATGGCAAAACAACATGTGCATTTTTATTCGAATAGATAAAGTCTACTGCGCGAAATCGCCCATATTGCTGTAGGCTGAACGCAAGTGAGCGTGCCTGCAACGCAGTGCCAGATACGGGCGCTATGATGACTCATGTGCGCGAATGCCAATGTTAACCCGGAAGAGACACTCTCGCGGGTCTTCAGGCTGGGGGACTTCGAGCAGTCAACTACACAACAATTTTGAAATATTCTTACCTGAGATTCACTAGGTTATTATAGCTGTCAGGAGAAGCCAGTCGTCTTTGCAGCTGCATGAGGAAATCATCAAACAGAACTATTAGAGTCATTGAATAAGGAAGATAGGTCAAGTAGAGGAGGTGATCTTGCCATATATCCTTGTATTTTTTGTCCTTATTTTGGCACATGTACAAGGAGAAGTTTAGTATCTAAATGATGATATTTTTTATTCAGAGAGGCAAATGATCAAAATCCGAATGTCTATTGGAAGTTGATGTAGTGCTTCTGCGTGACGACATCATTTGCGCGGGAACAAATGCCACGCTTGCAATCCCAACGATTTGCTTGCGAGCTGCGCGTGAAACGCCCGCATCGCGCACATTGTCACTTTTTTACGCGCAAATGTTGTCAACAATGCAGGAAACTACATCAACAGAGTAAGATGTACCTTTATAGCTCCATATAGATAAACATTAAATTCACAGTAGTAAATATGACCGTCCATGGTAAACGGCAAATAGTCGCTAGCTTTCAGCACAAATGAAATGCACAGTATCCATGGCACGGCTATGTTACGAGTGACGATGGATAGACTGGTCACTATAACTGCGAAGGCGAAAAGTATAGACACACAGGTGAGGCTAAAAATAATTTTCATGGTTGTGCAAAAAAAAGAGGAGAACAGGTGGAGCAAATTGAAAAAGCGCCCACCTTGTTAGATGTACTTGCAGGAGAAGGGCTCCAGAAATCAAAATTATTTTTGTCCATTTTGTTTCTACAAATCGGATTACCAAAAAGTACCTGTAAAAAATTGTAACGAAATTAAATAACAGAAGATAAGGTCAGAAAATTGCATTTTGACAGCTAAAAAAGTTTGCCTAGTTTAGTATACTCATGGCCAAAATTAAGTGGCTTGGTGCAATTGCACAACATCTGTATGCAATTGAATGCCAAAACAACATCTGACATCAAAAGTGTTTAGTCTTTCATATACATTATAGGAGAATTTCTTTTATTTCTGGGTCAGAAAAGATTGCATATACACTATAGGAGTATTTCTTTTATTTCTGGGTCAGAAAAGATTGCAGAAGCTGAACTGCGCCCTTGGATACATAGATTATGAGAAGGAACTTTTAAGCTAACATCTCCGTATATAGACTTTTAGCACACAAAAAGGATCTCGAAATCTGCGCAATTTTGATTAAATTTTTCTGAAAACTCACATTATACTGTGTAAGCTGTAGTCTAGAATCATATGTGACACAGTATTACGAAAATGTTCCCACTCATTGTCTGAGAGATCGACTTCATACCCGGACAAATAGCTGAAATTGTTGATAAATCAAAAGTTATTTGGGCTGTGAGCTTCAAACATGTCTCAAAAACGCTTTTACACATTCTCGAGATTTTTTTGACACATCACTTCCAAATTCTTTTGAAATTCGAGTGAGTTTTTTTTTTAAAACTTTCAAGCTGAGCTAAAATCAAAGTTTACCTGCTTTCTGTGAGCCAATTTTGAATCCAAGGCCGTAGATGACCTCGACTGACTCTGAATGCTATGTAGAATGCGGCTGCTGAGTGAAAAATCCAAACAGCCCAACAGAGCAGCCTTTCCCATCGAGGTAACGGAGCAGGTACAAAGCGATCAACGGACATTGTTTGAGGTTGAAACCTGAAGCAAAACATAAGATCAAAGCTCAGCCAGGTAAATTCCTAGAATATCAGGACCCTAGGAGATATGTCAAGGTTACAGTTCTAAAAAATTACTCTTAAGTGGGCACCATTTTCAGCAAAGTTCTTCGTAATCGAGTCATCTTTAAGAGTCACAGCCATGAATATTAGAAATTTATGGTTACTGTTGATCAGAATTACATATTCAATATGATCGTTCTATAGTTTTTTATACACTTTAACAACTGCAGTTTCCAATTTACAAATTAGTGTTTACCATATCTGTACACCAGATATGAACCCGCACATTATAGATTTGTAATTAGAGAATTAGAGAATACTTTCTATTTTGTGTTAAGGGCCGAGCATACATCACGCGATTTTATCTCCGCGATTTCTGGTCGTCGCGATTTGCTGCAAGTAGCGACGAAATCGCGGCGACCAAATTGCTAGTTGCTTGTTCATTGGCATACTTCTGCTCTCCTTCTACCCTTCTGCCTTCTGCCTTGTGCCCGGAGAAAAATGGCCAACGATTAGTCGCGCCGAATAATTATCATAACCGAATGACAAAATGATCAGCATCATGGACACGTAAGGCCTAAGGCATACCTCACGCGATTCCAATCGCTGCGCGCACTGCAACGACTCCTCATAACTGGTCGTAAACGCACTTTGCTTGGTCCGGACTTGCTGCATTTATTACAACTTAGGGAATCTACGCGCCCATGCAACTAAGAGCCGCGCATGCTTAATCTACAGACATCTGGCAAATTGCCAAGTCGCGAGGATGTGGCGATTTCGCGAAATCGCGAGAGGTATGCCTTAGGCCTAACAGCTGTCTTACCGAAAGAATTGCGAGGCGATGAAATCACGTGATGTATGCCCGGCCTTTTACGCATTTAAATTATAAAGACTTATCAAGAACTTATCCTAGATCTGTGAGCATTCGGATTATGGATACAGCAATTTATTTTATTTTTTGTCCTCTTTTAGAAAGACGAAAATGGTTGATTTCCAGCTTCTTCTCAATGTACTTGTCGCCATCCAGCCCGTCTTAGGGGACGGGCATACTTCAAGCGATTTCACTCGCGACGCGATTTGGCAATATTCCAGTTCTCCATAACTTATTGTAAGCACTTTTTAAATGTACGAAGATACGGAGTTTCATCAATCCGCCTAATCATGTACACTATGCAAGTGCAGTGTGCTAGTGTTGGATCTGAAGACTTCTGGCGAATTGCCAAATCGCGTCGCTGCGAAATCGCGTGAAGTATGCTCGGCCCTTTAGGCATCGGGCAGAGTTCACGCGATTTCATCGTCGCGATTCATCACGAGACATGTGGTACGAGTTCACCCTTCTTGCATTGCGATTGTGACAGTTTGTCAACACGACTAATTGTGACTATCTATCACAACCGAAATACAAGAAGATCGTCATGTAATGAACTCGTAACACTTGTCTTATAGCCAAGAATTGCGACGATGAAAGCGTGAACTCTGTCCGAGACCTTACAAATTATTGTGGTGCTTCAATGTGATTTAATGAAAGTCATTTATAATATGAGATGCTTGGAAAAATTTTGATTTGTAGTACTTCAATTTTTCTTCGAAAGATTTTGCCACAAGACCATGTTTTTCAACAGTGCTATAAAATGCGCGCACTGTTTCGTTATAGAGGAAAGAAAGAAACAAAATAATGGCGCATACCCATCCTTTTTGGGAAATTTCGAAGCTATTTATTCGAAGAACATTTGGTGAGGCTAAAAAAGTTTCCGAATCAAAAGTAGGTAGAACAGTGAGAGCAATTTTTTTGTGAAGACACCATATGGGATGCAAAATCAAATGATGGAGGTCGAGCTTGATTGGTTAATTTTCATTTTTATTTCTTCTCACTATTTAATTTTTTATCATTCAAAATATAGTATCAGTATAACACGGTGGCCTGCAAATTAGACAAACGACATGAAAGCAAATTGTATGATTTACAAAGGAAGAAGTTATAGCGATGAGGCAGTGTTTGAGTGTTGAGTAGACACTTGAACCAAAGCTAGATGAAGCTGTGTACTCTCGAAAACAAGATTCATAAGAAGAAGAAATCATTACGTGAAGAATGGCTAGCATCGCAGACGACACATTGATGACATGAATGCTTTCTAAAGGTTTATGTGCGCTAAAGTAAACATCTCTTTTGACAACCATCTCATACCATTCGACATGACCGACAATCTCCCCGTTCCATCGCGGTCCTTGTTCCTATTACTTCAACATATATCTAGACTTACCTCTTGAGATTCACTAGACAAGCACTTGAGGCAGAGAGCAGAGATCAAAACTTCGGGAGATGCTGATGATGCAAAAAGTGCGATACCATCCTGTAAAAATATGAGTAGCACATCTCCAGCTGTTTTGAGCAATGAACTGAGCGGTAAAACTACCAAATAAAGAAAGAAAACTCAAAGGAAAGGAGCATAATACATATGGTGATTCAGCCAGTGACGAGCCAGCTGACAACTTTCGAAGCACAAAAGAGAAATCTGAACTATATGCAATGTGAGTTCTGTACAGTACAATCGATGGAAAAATTGTTATGCCTAAAAACTTCATTTTTTCCTTCAAAAATCAATCCCAGTGGTGTTTTCGATTGTAAAGAACTATTACCGTGCACCAATAACCCATTGACGACGATGTGGACCACCGGTGGCCCACACCTCTTGCAAAGTCATATTATTCTAGCATTTCTTCCACAAATTAATATTTTTTCTTTTAACAGGCTCTAATCGTATCATGAAAATGTCTGTGGTTGAAGCCTTAGTAGGCAGCGGTTCAAGATTTTTTAAAAATAGATTTCTTTTGGTTTTGTAGTAAGATAAATATACCTTGTATTTAGATCCGATTGTAAATATTAGGTTGCTAACTATGTTTTGCAACTTTTCCATCACTTTTCTTTTTTTGTATATGGTAAACTCAAGCTTTGGCAAATTTTTGACTAGGAAGTGAACTACAAATACCGCAAACTGTTCCAAATTCTGGCAACGTTTGTAAGGATTACGGTAGGCGTACGGTAAAGAGGAACAAAAAACGGGAAAAAATTCTTTCCAGACCGTTACAGTTTCAGCTGATGCTTGGTCTAGGAGGTTTCTCGACACACCTTTTGCGAAAATCATTACACTCATTTTGCACGACAATGCTTTGTGGTAACGTCATAGAAAAATATCAGTTTGATAGCAAGCGAACATAATAACCAAAAATGCTCAAATTTTTTCCACTTCGTCATTAGAAATCAAATATTTTGTGCTCGATTGTAGCTCCATTGCAATCTACAGAATGCTGAATTAACGCGCCATATTTAGAGAAAAAAAAGTTCGAAACTTCCTTAACAACCTAATAATAAGAAAAATCTGCAAAACATTCTGCCTTATAAAAAGCTCAGAAATTTTCCTAAAAGTTGATGACCTATTATCTGTCGGGAGACGGCGCGATTTCTCCGACTGTCACCAACTTGAAACTCTAGTTTAGTGCTATGCGAGTTTGTGAAAATTACCGGATAAAGGGCATTAGCTTACTATCTGTCTGAGGTCACCAATTGCTGAGTTTCATGATTTTTGCTATAAATCGGACTAAAATATTTACGAATAAATGCATTTTCATGAATTTTTGACCTTCAAAATTGCTGTTTTGAATTTTTATTAGAGTATCAAGATTGAACAACTCATGCAATTATCTAATATATCTTCTTCTAAATTTCATACACTTCTAGAAAGTTGCGGAACACATATTATGTGCTATTTGGTGTCCAGCTGGCAACAAAAATCGCGCCTCTTGACATACACCCTTATCTGTCATAAGAACTTTGATTGTAAGTTTGGGCATGGCAAGGAGGCTCTTTCAGGTTGCAAGAAAATCACTAAAAACACACAAACAGGTATTCTATAGAAGCGGATTATATGTTTGAGTGACAATACTGCTGTAGCAATATACTAGTTCTGACAGAATTATGCCAAATTTGGGTGAACACAGAATAATCGGTAATGATACAACATAGTCGATTTACTATGATGGTTGTACAAATGCGAAAGCTGTAGATGAATGTGTAATTAGACATTAATTACAGGCATTAAACCGGACAGTTGTTGAAAATTTTTTTTGGAAATCTAGTTAATTGAATGTGGATTGTTAGCTTGAAAATTATAGAGCGCTTACATGAGCCTCCCGCGAGCTTGAACTCAAAAATTTACTAATTTTCACTAAACGGAATATAAACGTCGAAATATTTTTGTTATGCGCAAGCAAAATTTGCTATCAAAGACCTTTTTGTCCTAAAATTTGCAACATCGGCCAATGCAAACACTATAATGCCAACAAAAATCATGACTGGTAATGGCAAATAATAAAATGGTGACATATAGTGAATCATTGCTGCGTTAGCTTTGTAATTTGAGAAATGGATGTTTGTTGACACAACCTCGTTGGGTCTCTTTCCTTCTCTGGTAAAAAATATCGACAGAACCGGATGCTTGGAAATTTTAGTAAAGCTTGAGGAGAAATGGGAGTTTTTGATGATTCAAAAAAAAACGGTTAACATAATAGGCCGAATTAAGCGGTTAATCTCAGAAGATTAAGAAGAGTTGGCTCGGTGCCAGAACCCGCCTGCACGTTTATTTGTACAAGTAAATCAGAGGAAGATCGATGGTATCGTCGGTACAAAAGGTGAGTGAACGTCCCGAGTCAGCTCGAACAATGGAAATGCCTGCGTCTCTGCTCGGTTGATGGTCCTCCACAGGTCGGAGGGCAATTCAAGCCCCCCCCCCCCCTCCCAACTCGACGCGAACGCGGCACCCCCGCAATCGGCAATCGGCTGTCCGCAGGTGCAACGCAGCGAAAACGCTGCGGTGACGGGGGGGGGGGCAGAGATTTACTGGGTGCAAACATGTGCTATGACTAGTCGGGCGTGGCTCGGCTTGCTCTGGGTAGATACAGTGGTTGGTGCCGATTCTTTCGTTTAAATCATCAGAACCCCTTGTCTGTTGTTTACATTGAAAAAAAGGAATAGAATTGTTCTCTAGTACTTACTGACTACCAAAAATCTCATACCAAAAAAACTTGGCCATTGTAGTCATCTTCTCTTCCAAAAGCGCATCCTGTTCGTTCAGAGCTTAGTCGCGGTGGTAAAAACCAGCGCTGACGAAGATAGCGAAATGCTAAAGACTTGCCAATAGATTTTGGAGCTTTTTCTTGCTCATGTCGCTTACCAAAGTTGAAAGCTGTTACCTTGTTTCTAGGTAGAGGAAATCGTACACTGGGAGCGGAGGAGTTCCTAAATCATACAATAACACTCTCAAAATGTGCAAAATTTTCGTGAATGTTGCGGAATTCCGGGAGTGTCGCGAACTTCCGCGGAATTTCCCGAAATTCCGCGACATTCACGGAAATTTTGCATATTCTGAGAATGGTATTGTATATAGCAGGACAGTAATGGCTTGACTCATTGTTTGATAACATGATCTGAGTAGAATACCTCAAAATGGAGTGCATACAAAATGATCAGGTTCCCTTCAGCCTTCAGAAACTTTGCTTTGACCTCAGATGTCATATCATGAGATAATCTGTTGCATTAGTACTCATCCATTGAATAAAATAATGTATTAACTATGGGAAATCATCTGGAGTGATATTGGTATTGGTATTTTTTCTTCTAATGCCACCCACGAGGATTGGTAAGCTAGTTGCTCAAACTTGTACGAAGTGATTGAAAACTGAACCACAACAATCGCTGCACGGAATCATCAATTCACCATTCTTCATTCTCAGCTATTATATCTAGCGATACTAACTAACATTATAATCTAGAAGAGCGGCAAATTACTCCAAAGGAGCTATGCTATTTTTCGAATAGGCAACAAGCTTTCAAAAAGAAGTTACAGCACAGCAAAGTTTATCTGCCTAATTTTTGTTCATAGCTGGAATATGATCTAGGCTTAAACGCTTTAGCTTCGGCCACTCTTGAGTTTCTTACAAGGGATGCTGATGCTGTTGACGCAAGCCTTGTTCCAGATTGTAATTTAAGCTCATCAGAATTATTAACGCTGTTTTTTATGCTCCACTTGCTAGATATGGTTTGGTTATTCCCAAACAATGTAATATTATAGATTCTCCCAGACATGTTTGGCTACAAATGTCTTCCATACCAGAAACTGTCTTCAGTCCTGCGTCACCTATTCTTCGTACCGGGCACGAAATCTTTCTCAGACAGTTGAAGGGATACCTCCGGCGGGCATATGGCGCGAGTCTGCCACTTCGCGCTCCGGAGCCCTGCCCCCCCCCCTAAAGTGGCGCACCTCCGGAGCAGAGATTTGCGCGTTGCGGAGAGGGGTCCCATTTATTCACCGTGACGTCACGGTGACGTTACAAACAGGACGAATGGAACCCCTCTTCGCGACGCGCAAGTCTCTGCTCCGGAGGTGCGCTACTTTTGGGAGAGCCCCGGAGCACAAAAATGCGTGAAATGGCAGGGCTCCGGAGCGCGAAGTGGCAATCCTCCGCTGGGGAAAGCCCGCGACCCTGCCACTTCTGCTCCGGAGGTATGCCATCGACTGTCTGAGTTGCAGCTCCGTCTGTGTTCTTTCGAGTTCCTCCTCATAGTTGGCCAGAAGCTTCCCATAGTCCTGACGTCGGTCCGTTGTCCTCTGTTCCGAAGGCCTCCGTTTGCGATCTTCTGAGTGCGAAGTATCTCTTGCGTTCGCTATCCTTCCTTGTTGTACTGCCGACAATGGATTGAGAGCATCTGTGTTCTCGACGGCAATCTTCCGCTGATACCTCCTCTCCATGATGTCTAGGTCTTGCCTTCGAAACCCTTCGTCAGCTGACTCAAGAACTGTGAGTTTTTTCTGCCTCTCCGGTCCGATTCTTCCTTGAATTGAGCACCGAGTCCTAGCAACTGCTGTTCCAGGCAAGGAATCCTTTGCTGTAGTTGTCCAAGGTATCGAGTTCTGCCTTTACGTCTTCGACACACTCCTTTCCTATCGACATTTGTCTTGCCGCTTGATTGTAAGCCTCCTCAATCCATTTTCGAGTGTGCTCGTGTTGTTGGCAGACCTCGTGCTTGAGCTGTAAGATTGCATCCTCGAGTTACCACTAGGATCTCATACCACTCATGACCAGATAGAATTTATCATCCAGTGACTCAACTCCCTCAACTCGTCTAGATGTCCTTCAACTTCAGCGTGTAGTTGATTGACTCCTTGACCGTTATATCATCTCCCAGCGATTCCCCTTCAACTCGAAGTATCCAGCTTCGCTTGCGTTAGACGGTCCTCGAACTCGTGACATTTGTCGCCAAATTCCCTGATTGTCTGCTGTACCTGCACCACTGTGAGTTTCGCCCGTGATTGTTTGACAATGGTTACTTTCCTCTCGATCTCCTCCGGGGTTTTTCTCCAGTTCTGTGAAGAAAGCCGCCATTTTCTGTGAAGGAAAACATTAGAGGCAAACAACCATGAGTTCAACTCTTTTCCTATCGCTCTCTGCGCGGTAGATCTCGACCTGGAAAGCCGTGCCATTCAATCTGCAAGAAGCGTTAAACATGCAATCGACCCATCACCACCGTGCCTTTCGGCCTCAGCAGACAAGCTGGTTTTCCTCAAGTCTTGTGATCTATCCCTGGCTTGTGTCTCTATGAGCCGGTGGTGATTGTTTAGGCATTTGAGAACTTATCTTTGGTTGTCATCTCGAAGGCATGCGCAGTACTAGCCGGTGCGTTCGGCTATGTTTTTTCTCGCCGATCTAAGCTGGCTCTATTCGCACTGGTATTATTATTACTATTATTTTTGTATTCGTTGTTGTTTCTGTATTTTATTCACTTATTATCTTATTTTATTCACTATCTAGGCTTCAAGATCGACATGTAGGTATGCTGCTTTTATTTTTAATTACTTATTTATTTTTTTATTGTTGTTTTGTTTGTTGGCTTGCCCTTTGTCCCTTCGACCACCTCTCACCCTTCCCCTCCTTCTTTTGCTATAAAAATACAGGCAGGGATAATTTGGAGGGAGGGAGAAAACTGTGGAGCTGTGGGGGATCGCTCAAATGACTTATTTGACGGCGAACCCTCACGTCATGACACGCGATTACTAGATGGTCCTAAGGGTCTCTATAGCCCTCCCCAAACAAATCAGGATAGCGGGCTGTGGGTCTAGTAGGCCTCATGATGACGTTTTGTCCAAGCGCATCCAATACATTAGGCGATGAATTCCTGTGCGTCTTTCACCGCCACTAGAATCTCATACCACTCATGGGCCAAATGGAATTGGTCCATCCAGTGACTCAACTCTCTCAACTCGTTTAGTTCGTGCCCGGTACGAAGAATAAGTGACGGAGGACTGAAGACGGGCCAGCTCATCATGTGCATTTTTTACAAGGAGTTCGGACAACATTATTCGGATGCATGCCCAAGGGTGACTTCAATCACAGACCGCATAGCCATCTTGGACAATGAAGGACAATGCCGTTGCTATCTGGAACACCATCTGAACGCATGCCCGAAACCCATATCATGCTTTATGCAAGAATGCCGGCCTTACGATTATCACGCCGGAATCTGTCCATCACCTGACGAAAAGGACCGACTACGGAGTCGCCAAAGGGAGCTTGAGGAGAGTGTTCCAAACTACCAAAGGAAGCTGCAAAAAAACCCACGATAGGAGTTTCACATCTCACAGCGAGGACAATCCAGGTCTCTCGCATTCTTAATGCGAGGCCGAAGTATACGCCTGATGTTCGTATAGTTCTTTGAGCTGCGGAGAATGTGATTAGAGGAACAACAACATTATTTGCAGCTTATCAGTAGTTCCACAGACCCGACGACTTTTTGTTTATCATTCCGACGCTTCAATGTATAATTCCATAATGAGATATAGCGAGTTTAATGTGCTTATAAGACATTTACTTTTCTTTTATTATTTCACCTTCTCTTCTCCTCTTATTCTCTTTATTTCTCTTGTTAGTTTATTATCCTCTCATTTCCTTAGGTCACAGCTCTTTTCTGGATAAGATACACAGAAACACGGTCTTTAAAAACTCATACTATAATAAGGCTTCAATATATCACAGAACACCGCATTTATAGCATTTTGCTCATTTTACTTGATTCATTCACAGTCATATAATTTTGATTGCTTGTCTGCTTTGCGTAGACTCACAGTATTTTCATTTCTTCAGAAACACATTTCTTCATCATTTTTTTCCATTCTTCATCTTCATCATTTTCATTTCTTTCTTTTTGGATGCCTTTGCCTGAGATTATATCGTTCGCATCCTTTTGGGCTAGTCTGAGTTTAGGTTCTTTAGTTGCCTTTGGGATTAGTTTATGTTAAGTGTTTTCGTTAACGCATTCGTTGATTAGCTATTAGTGAGAAAGTTTAATACCCAAGTTTGAGGTTGCTCAACTGTGCGTGCACCATCGAGCTCACAGTCCCCGAAAAGCAATTCATACTGTCGTTCTCTCCCAAAATATTCAAAGAAGCAGGTCTCATGTTTATCAAACTTTTCTAATTTCTCATGTATCAAGGGACGCTGGTGTACCCGCTACTCGCATCTTTGGGATTGAAATTCATGTCATAAACGTTACGGACTGTAAATGCTTGCAAAGCGCTGAGCTGAGCAATTTACAAAACTTGGCCAAGTAAAAGCTACTACTTGTTTAGTCACAATCATGCACCAGCTGCTCCATCAAAACTAGTAGCCAAAGTGAACACCACATTGCGATATTGGCTAGATAATAGGGATCAGGAATGGAACAAATATTTCTTAGCTTTGCTCAATATTTGAGAGCATGCGTTTTCTGTTTCTGTTCATACCCTGCTTTCATGTGTGTTTTACGTATCTTTTAGGTCTCAACTATGCAGTGAGTAAGCAAAGAATATCTATTTCACTTCTTTTACGAAAATCCCATAGCTAGGATTTTTGGAAATCACTAACTTGCTTCAGATGGAAGGAGAACAAGATTCATTTCCTTGATAAATGCCGCAAATGCACACACAGAACATTTTGCGAGAAATTTGCAAACCACCAAAAGTTTCATTTTCTGTACTTTTTCAATCACTCATCGAACTTATGATCAAAACTCCTATAAAAAATGCAGTATTTTTATGCGCCTTTGCTTCCCTTTTTTGTGCTATTTACTAAAAAAATACGAGACATGTGTAAACCCCTCGATTGGTCTCTCAGATTTACTTCTATACTCTACACAATCCTGATTAAAAATTTGGTGTACACCTCATGCATGCTCCAGGTTTCGTAAATCAGTCTGTTTAGACAATGGTTTGTATCTCGTGCTCTGATGAACGCTTTTGCTGTGTATTGATAAGCACTTTTTTAGCGGTAATGGTTTGTACACGACAACTGCTCATAGAAACACTGAAAAAATTAGTATAGAAAGGAAAAACATCAACAAAACAAAACTTTATGAATTGCAAAAATATGACATGACTGGTCGTTGTCACATGTTTCTGTTTATTCCGAATAATTGCAGATGTGAGTGTCGATGCCGTCTTTGAATTGCTAGAAATAAATTTTGGTCCATGTGTTCTATGTAACAGTAACAAGCATGTCTTACTTGCACTCCCTCACTGCCGCTACCGAAACCACCGTCGATCGCTTGGCTCAGCTTTTGTCCCATAAGCACAGCCTGTGCATTCGGCGAAAATTTCATAGTATTCTTGCACTTCTTCTTTGGAGGGGCTGAATGTTTAAGCTTTGGAAATGAAGTGATTATGCAAAAGCGAATAGCGACGTACTTGTCGCAGGGGTGCCAGCTGTGGGGAGAGCTTGCGTTACATCTGCAAAACCTTTTTAATTTCGCTTTTAGCTAATGTATTTGATTCTACACATATAGGAAATCAAAAAAAGTGACTAAGTCTGCAAAAATGACAAAGATGAAGCTATGGACTTACTTATTGCAGAAGGTGGGCTATCTAAATAAAAAAAATCTGTGATAGCAGGCAATTACACTTCAGAAATCAATTTGATACCTGTAACTTCAGGGGCTCCGGCCACAGTTGTTGGTTCGGGTAAACCTAAAAAAATCCAATTTTTATGGGAAAAACATGTATCAAATGCAAGAAAGTGCAGGAGTTGTGAAAGTTTTGCTCGTGAGGAAGTTGCTTGCTAATTTTGCTTTGAGACCATTATTGCTTACCATCAACCGATATCAAAATGGAGAGAGAATTGCCCCAATTGGCTATAGCGAATTCCAGGTTCTAATTAGACTGTCATGACAAATCTTAGCAAATTTTTGATTTCTATGCTTTTTGAAAATATACAGTGAGTGCCAATTGAAGACAGTCTTTTGAAGCTTAGATGAATCAAAGGTATTTGAGCTTCTGGAGTCGTGAGGACTAAATTTCGAGAAGCTACATAGGTGTCTGTGAGCGTATGTGATAATGTGCCATAAAAGTATAGAAACTCATAAAAAGCTCTGCCTGCGTAAGAAACTAACTAGTAATGTATGTCGTAGTAGTTGGTGCCAGTGTGGTGGTAGGTCCTGAAAAAAGTGTATGACTAGATGTCCATAGTAAGATTCGGATACTGGAATAGTCATTTCCGATTCCGTATCCCACTGAAGTCTACGTTACATCGAAATATTGGAGGAATCAGAATATAAAGAATGTGACTTACTGAGCATCTCCTGCATTGCCTCTGGCGAAAGCATGACGTTGCACATATCATTCTTGCACACACATTGCTCAGCTTCTCCCGGTTGCTTTGAACAGCGTTCCTGAAAGAAAATCATCACATTCATATAGGGCACCTTGGTTAACTGAACTACCTCATTTGTGCCCTCCCAGAGACTTCCGCAGTATGTATGCGGGTCAAGTCCGCGTTCTGAAAAACGAACATACGGCCATGGGCTCTTTGCTAATTTTTATACTCACTAACGACGCAGTAGTCTCCTCTACATATGTGTCTTTCCGCGCATGGAACTCTTAAGGAATGATTGGCAATTGTCACATTTCCACACTCAATGCAGCTAACAGCAAGATCCGGAAGCATCAGTGGAACATGGCTGAAAGGTGTCAAATTTACAAAGTAAAAAAAATGTAAAATAGAAAGTGCAAAAACGCACAAATTAGTGTCATAATTCGCCAATGTTGTCAACGTCTCATTGACCGACTTGAACTGATTGCACAACTCAGCTGTGCACTGGCAATTGATGGACATTTCGGCATCATTCTTTGTGCAATCTAGCGCTGAGGGGGCTGGATTTTCCCCACAGCCCGCTGACCACTCTCCATTCTGTTCCACTTCTTAATCATTGAAAACATTTTTTTATAAAGTTGGTGACGATGAACATACTGAAAAAGCACGATTCTCCAAGGCACAGTTTATCGATGGAGCATAGCTGTCCATGTGTGGTGGTGTTACCGTAGCAGTGGTAACAAGCTACTTCTGCTCCAACAGTTGCTGCCAATAGAGGCAGTAGCAGCACTAACATTTTTCTGCAAAAGCCATTTATGCTTTCAGCGATAGCATTTCCACAACGCAGAGCGTTGCATAAAATAGAACGATTTGTCGTTGACTTAGAAGCTATCGCGTGGTCAAAATTCTTTCGCGCTTTTTAAAGTGTGTGTTCCAGTCCTCCTCGTGGTAGGTACCAATATGCCGCATGCTTCTCGCGCTTTTACGCCGCCTTTATAGCATTTTTTCACAACAGAATGTAGTGCTTCTGTGCCTCTGCGACTAAGGCAGCAAGTGCGCTGTTTTGCGGTGGCACCTACAGTCGTTTTCAATACGTATTGGTTTTTTCTGCCGTATGCCTTCCAGCCTCAACATGACGTGGATTGGTGTGGATTGGTGCGGCGCCGCCGAGAAAAGCAACGCGGCGCAAACCCGAAGCGATGCGGTGCCTCACCAATCCATACCAATCCACACCAACCCACACCAATCCACGTCATGTTGAGGCTGGAAGGCATACGGTAGAAAAAACCAATACGTACTGAAAACAACTGTATGCGAAAAACTTTAGAATACAGACCGTCTATGGTTGAGCAATCTTGATTACTTTTGCAGCAGTGATATCGGCGAAAAGCTGTTATGCATAAGGAGCCCGGACTTTCATAACATTTAATGCTGGTCAGTTATGTCTACGTATGACAGTTGTAGGCTGCGCTTGGTGTGAATATTGAAGCTGCAATGGCAGTGGGATGGTGCGGGATGGTGTGGATTGGTGAGGAATGGGGTGGATCGGTGCGGATGGCAGTGCTGTAGTTGCAGTGCGGAGTTTGTGCTGTGTTGTGGATGGTGCTGCTTTGTGTTGCTGTGGAGTCAAAGTGCTGCAGTTGTGTAAATGGTGAAGCTGCAGTTGTTGTGATTGGCGCATAATTGGACTGATTGGTGGTGCTGCAATTGCCGAATTTGGTGTGGATTGGTGTGGATGGCAGTGCTGTAGTTGCAGTGCGAAGTTTGGGCTGTGTTGTGGATGGTGCTGCTTTGTGTTGCTGTGGAGTCAAAGTGCTGCAGTTGTGTAAATGGTGAAGCTGCAGTTGTTGTAAATTGGTTCATATTGGACTGGTTAGTGGTGCTGCAATTACTGAATTTGGTGTGGATTGGTGAGGATGGTGTTGCGATGCTGTCCTAGACTGAAGCTGTTGTGGATGATGATATGTTCAATTTTTACAGTTTTAACCGTTGCATCACTGTTTTATACCACTTGTACTTTGAGCAAAAAATTGCACGTACTTTGACTGCAAAATATGTCAGCTTCAAATAATTATCGTGAGCTGTGAGAGATATTTAGAGAGCGAGTGACTATGCTTTTCAAAATCATGGGTTTCGTGAAAATCTTCGCAATATTTTCAACTGCTGATCAGTTATAAAACAATCGTAACGTGCTAGATTCTCCCACTTAGCTTACGTGAATTACATCCATGCATCAGAGACAAATATTGATTACAATCAAATTGTTTAAAAAAGGAATTTTTACAGCTGAGAATGCAGGGTGAAATAATAGACATGATAAAACTGTTGGTATTTTCTTTCATCCTCCAGCACAAAGGCAAGTTATCGTTATCTTATTGAAATCAAAACTAACAATATAACTTGATAATTTTCATTGATCGCCTTTACTTTGCATGGTTTTGTATGAGAGCTATTATAATCTATGATCTCTGAGTGAGACGCAGTAATGTCTACAACTCTTTGTGAGAACACATTATATAATAAACAGCTTGCAAGAATTCACTTAATAAACTTCACAGAAGTTTTGCTGCCGTAGAATGGTATTTGCTGTTCAAAGGAGCTAACTAGGGACAATTGATTATCGTTGGAGAAAGCACAATACTTTCAAATACAAAGGGAGGCTGTTCTGCCTATATTCATAGAAAGTGGCTGAAGGCCTTATCCTACAGTACTACGTGAAAGTTTTGTCAGACGTAAGGTGACTTGTTAAAAAGGGCGTATGAAGGTTCTTTAGAGGCTACATCCGTATAAAAATTTCAAAGCTACCAAATCAAATGACACACTCTTACAGCTCGGTAAGAGATATAAAACTATTTGACAGCAGAGATCTCTCGTTTTTTTTGAAACCACATGGAAAATCGCCTTCATGCAGCGACTGAAGTGCAAACTGCGATCAAAGAACGAAGGCAGTGCACTTGAGCATTCAGAATGATTTGCATATATGTTCTTTGATTGTACTGAATGCGAGAAAAGACAATAGAGTAATACTACACAATAGAGGCTTGAGAAACACTAGCAATGATAGTGCAATCAATTGCAACGTTGCCTAGTGAATTTACTCTCTTTGCCGGCGGCACTTCATCGAACATGAACAGCGGTGATTACCTTAGCTCTCATGTATACATATGCACGTGTTCGGGTTTGAGAGTAACGTTCTTTCATCTGCAAAAAAGAAGTCTAGGCTAGAAATTACTCCTGCTCATGTGCTGAGACGACTACAAGTTGGTCTAGTCATATTTCATCTGCTTTACACTACTGTAAAAAAAAATTATGTAGAGGGAGTGAAAAAGCGGGACTCTTAGCTAAATTGCAGAAAACAACCTGAATATTGGAGTGGGACCTTAAACCTCTATGCTCATGGGAAATAAATAGACATAAATTATAATAGAACTGGAGAAATCATTTATAGTTTTAATATAAATGAAATTTTCTATGGCTGTAAGCAATGTGTTATTTTACTATACTTCGAGGGATTCGGAAAACATTGAAAACGGAAAGTTATGGCGAAAAAAAAACAGGGTAATTTGATTTTTTAATCCCTGGCCTTCTTGAAGGCTTTACTGATGTTGAAGCTTTGCTTTGTATTAATTGATCTATACAAGACGATGTTTCCATGAAGTTCAGAAGTGCCATTTGAGGAAAGAAGAAATTGATAAACAAGAATTTTGTATTTAAACAATTGATGAGGAGCGTTACCTACGAAGAGTTTACTCGAAATAGTCTGGCTTATTTCTATGCGATCAATATCCAGTCTCCGATGATCCGCTCTAATTGAGCAAAATAGCGGTTGTTCAACTACGAATGTACCGTCAACGTCATCAAAAAAATTCTCGATTATGTTTTGATATTCTCAAAAGTTCATTTGTAGACCACATTTTGAAAACGCGATACAGCTGCAAATTTTGGGTTGATTTAAGCAGGCTGCATTTTGCTTACGCGAAGGTTTCAATACTAGGCAAAAGTTGATATTTCTGAGCGAGATACCAAAAATCTGATTAGCTTGTTTGTGAAATCAGTGCCTGTACTATGTTAACTCTACTACTGTTTCCTAATCTTCGCTGATGATAATTGTTATCGGAGATGCTTTCTGACTCGCATATGCTCTTTTCCAAAGTTGCGTTCTTTAAACATCGAAAGTTGTGCAAGTAAAATAAAATTTGATAGAAAAAACACATCATCTGTATCTATTTTGGTTTTTGCTTATGAGAATTTGTTTCAATGATGCTAGCACCTTCATTTTGTCGGAGGATAGAGACCACTTATTTCCATGTCCAAAGCATGAGGGAGGGGAGCTGCAAGTAAAAAAGAGTACTGATAAAAAACGATGGACTCAAACCAAAGAAGATCTCTTTGCAAATCGCACTGGAAAGCATAGGACAAGTCAGATTCTTATACTTTTCAAAACAAAAGTTGTAGTCCACTACTGAGCTCATTCCATAAAGACGAGGTTCACACCAGCAGCATATTACCATGGCTCGTTAACAAAGTAGGGCGCAATAACGCGAGGCTCGTTATTAGTCTATTCTCGTCACTGAAGCCACCGCTTTCTTGAGTTTCCACCTATGGGGTTCACTTAAAAATATATTTACTTCTAAAGCCGTCGTTTTTTTCCATTTTCTATGATACCCTTTGAGATATAGCATGAAAACTAATCAGAATCAGAAATATAAAATGAGTAATGATATTTTCATTCTCCTTTTGATGAGAGAAGAGTGTCAAGAGCTGTTCGCGTTTTAGAGAAAGTAAGTTCCCCTCCAATGGTGTCTGTAAGCTTGAAGCTTCTTTGTTATTGTTAACAATATGTAAAACAAGTCTTAGCAATCTCTTGCCACTCTCTCTTCTCTCTATACGCCTTCATTCTGCTTTCTGTTCTTTTTTTTCTCTTATCCAAATAAGAATCTTTGGTCCTGTCTCGAACAAAGTTATCTCGGAAATGATTTTCAGCTGCGAGCTTTTCCTTTGTTCTCGGCTAGCAAGGATAAAGCATTGAGGCGTCAGTAGTGCAGCAGTGGAATGGCGTGAGAGGCATGTAATTCATTCACAAAATCAATGATGAGAAGCCTTTAGTTACTCTCCTTAGCTTTCAGGATATACGCAATGTCTTTGACGTCTATTTTTCACGCTTAATTATTGAACGGCTGTCTCTACTTTCACATCAATTTTTTATTTACCAAAGCGAGAGGAGAGCTTGCAATTTATGTGGCTGACTAAAATGGACTTTGGCATTATTTTTTAGACCAAGAAGTTCTGTATACCTTTTTCGCTCCTTCTGCAGAGTTCTTAGACCGAATTGCTTATTTGCCAGCAACCTGCTCAAATTTCTCTCTCCGAAGTCTGCGGTGCGGTGTGTTGTATCGGCTATAGAGCTAGATCTTTTGTGGGACGATTGTGTGATGGATCCGGAACTTGAATCACGCTGTGAGTACAGCCGGCTTAGGCGAATAACAAAAACACTCAGCATGGTATTGGTTGCCTAAGATCTACTCCGTTTTGGGAAAGGAAATGTTGAATCGAAAGTTCCGTCGCATATTGCGAACAGCTCTGTAACTGTTTTTTTTTCTATTGTTTTTGGTACTTGTTTTTTTGCAACGTCTCATGTATGTCTGGATGGATCAATAAATTAGATATCGCAAAATTGCATACTATAAGAACCATTTTAGAGAGTGCTTTCTGGAACTTTGAGGGAAAAAATCGCGTTGTTGCCAGAAAAAATGTGAAAGACTCGCAGCTGAGATTTTTTCTCGAATATAACATTATATATT